TTAGAAAGGGCGATGTGTTTGAGTTGAGGATACTTCATTAGTATTGCGGCACTCTCTTGTTTGATCGACTACTGATATTCGAGTCTGCTTGGTGGCACAAAAGAATTATAGGAGTACCTCTCACGGGATGATTGGGTATTAGAGGTGTGTTGTATATTCGGACGGTGGAGTTGGGATCAGATATGGTGATTCGTGTGCTATATGGATTTGGATGCTGGGAGTTCTCATAAACAGGCTAGGTCGTTGTTGTGGGCCGCGTATATCGGTCTTGTGTGGTAACTATTAGAGGTTTGGAGACCCGAGTGGATCTTTGTTGCTTAGTATGCTGGATTTTGATGTGATATTGGGCATAGACTGGTTGTCTCCGTTTCGTGTTATTCTGGGCTGTTGCGCTAGGGCGGCGACGTTGGCTATGCCGGGAATGCCACGGATTGAGTGGCGAGGTTCGACGGATTATGTTCCTAGTAGGGTGGTGTCATTTTTGAAGACACAACGGATGGCTGGGAACGGTTGTCTTTCTTATTTGGCCTTCGTGATGGATGTTAGTGTAGAGATTCCTACGATTGATTCAGTTCCGGTGGTGAGGGATTCTCCGGATGTGTTTCCTGCTGCCGGACATGTCGCCGAAAAGGATTGTTGATTTCGGTATTGATTTGGTGTCGGGCACCGTATCGTATGCACCGACGGAGTTAGAGGAGTTGAAGGAGCAATTTCAAGGACTCCTTGATAAGGGGTTCATTGGTAGGCCAATATGGATGTGTGTTCTAACTCGAGTCGGCTTGGCTGACTCCGAGTTATATTGTTGAGGGATGTGTTGATTCGATTGTTATTGAGCTTATTAGTGATCTGGGGAGATCTATGAGTTACCTTTCCGTGGTGCGAGGCGTTGGGATTTGTTGGCTATAGGCACATGTGGTGCGGGTTTGTTGGGGTCTCTCAGTGGAATTCGAGCAGGAAGAGTATTGGGTATTGCTCGGCGGATGGAGTATCGGTTGTGTCCTTTCGGGTTTCTTTAATGTTATGTCAATTGCTTCGTCGTGGTTATGATGATTTGCTTTGGTTCTAGACATCAAATTGAGTGTGGTTGTCGATTTTGAGCATAGTGACTTGAGGTGTTTCATGTGGACCAGTGTTTGGATAGGATCGCGCATTTCAGCGAAGTTATGTGGAGCTGTTCTGTTTCTACGATGTATGACGGGTTCTCAGCATTGTGTGTGGTGGTACTGGTGAGCTTGCGGTACAGCTCTCTCATTTGAGTCATTTTTCATGATTTGAGTACATTCGGATTGTTGCTTATTGGTGTGCGGATTGCACGAGTTGTGGCTTTAGATTGTATTGATGTGTCATGTCACCAGAGTAGTTGTGTTGGATTAGATGAGATCATTGGGATCTAGAATGAATGCAAACGGATTCAGTTTCAGCGTGTTGGAAGGATAATATCGATGTTCGGCTCAGAAATTTGCTATGGTCCTTGCCAAAGGAGAAGTGGCTTCACGAATGGTTGATCTGAGGAATGGTTATGACTTTCTACGTGTTTCATATCGTTGTCAGTATACGGAAGTGTTGGAATGAGGTTTTATTTGATAAGAGGTTTATTATCGATATTCGCTTGTTCTGAGCAACTGCTGTGATCAGAAGTTACCGCTACGAGAGTTTGAGCTACATGGTATATCATGTAAGCATCTGAGGCTACAGGTATGGTTTGTTACAGCTTGTTCGGGCTTATTCAGAGTATAGATGTGAGATTCTGATCTTCTAGATGATTTCAGAAGTGGAAATATGGGTCTAAGATTTATGGGCTAGGTTGGATTGCGAAATTTCAGTTATATTGTGTTATAGGACCTATATGAGATAGGGTGACGTGGGATCACCCCCGGGTATGTGCATGGTAAGGTTACACAGCGATTTGATGGTTTTTGGAACAACTCTGGGCACGTTCGAGGACGAACGTATATTTAAGTGGGGGAGGATGTAACGACCCGACCGGTCGTTTTGAGCCTTTGCATTTCGCTCGCCAGTTCTCGAGCATGACTAGCCCCGTGTGATGTATTGTGGCTTATGTAAATCGTCGGTTTTGGTTTTCAGGGTAATCGGAACGAATTTGGAAGAACAGTTCTCAGTTGAAGCTTAAAAATTTGGAAGGTTTGACCAAGTTTTGACTTGTTAGTATAAGATCTCGTATTGGGATTTTTTATGATTTGGTTAGCTCTGTCAGGTAATTTGGGACTTGGGAGCGTGATCGGAATGTATTTCGAAGGTCCGTGGAAGGTTTAGGCTTGAATTGGCGAAATTGAAATTTTGGCATTTTCTGGTTGATAGGTGAGATTTCGATATAGGGGTCGGAATGGAATTTCGGAAGTTGTAGTAGGTTCGTTATGTCAAATGTGACGTGTGTGCAAAATTTCAGGTCAGTCGGACGAGGTTTGGTAGACTTTTTGATCAAAAGCGGAATTCGGAAGTTTTTGGAGTTCTTAGGCTTGAATCCGATGTTATTTGTTCGACTCGATGTTGTTTGAGGTGTTTTGAAGATTTGTATGTGTTGAAGGTGGTATATGACTTGTTTGTACTTTTGGGTGAGGTCTCGGGGGCCTCGGGGTGATTTCGGATGGTTGACGGAAGATTTTGAGTTGGGTTTGGCAGCTGAAGTTTTGCCATTGATGTCATAACCGCACCTGCTGCTAGGGGACCGCAGGTGCGGACTCGCAGAAGCGGGTTTTGGAGCCACGGAAGCGGCCAGGAGAAGGGCAGGCTGGGATCGCAGAAGCGAGGTCCTGGTCGCACCTGCGATTGCGCAGGTGCGGGTTTCTTTGAGCAGATGCGGCCTTGGAATTTTAAGAGAATTTCGCAGGTGCGCACCTGGGTTCGCAGGTGCGGGTCCGCAGGTGCGACCATTTAACCGCAGATGCGGTTTTGCTGGGTCAGAAACTATAAATTCCAACCTTCGCAATTTTTGGCCACTTTTCTCAATATTTCACTCGGGGTGAAGCTTTTGGGGGCAATTTCAAGGGAGATTTTTCAGAGGGATTCATTGAGGTAAGGTCCTTGGTTCCTAAGCTCGTTATTATGGTGATTTTTATCCTTGTTAGCATGAGATTTAAGGGAAAATCAGTGGTAACTTTAGGGGTTAGGGCTTGGTAATTGGAGAGCTTTGAGTGGTGATTTGAGGGACCATTTGAGGTCCGATTTTGATACTTTTGGTATGCATAACTCGTGGCGGAATAAGTATTTCATTGATGTTAATTTTGTCGGATTTCGAGACGTGGGCCCGAGGGTCGGGTTTGGCCAATTTCGGGATTTTTGAGGTAAATTGGTTATTTTCGAGTGGGCTTTGTTCCCTTAGCATATTTTGATGGTATAAATCTGTATTTGGTTATATTTGGAGCATTTGGAGACCGAGTCGAGAGGTAAGGGCATCGTGGGCTAGAGTTTGGATCGGATTGAGGTAAGTAATGATTGTAAATGTTTGTTCTGAGGGTATGAAACCTCGGATTTCACATCGTTTTGCTATTTTGAGGTGATGCACACGCTAGATGACGAGCGTGGGGTCGTGCACCGTTGGGGATTGTGACTTGGTCCATCCCATACGACTATTAAGTCGCGTTTTTACCTAAAAACTATTTGATATTGTTATATTTTGGAAAATATTATTGTGTTTGGGGCTACATGCCGTGTTTGGGCCTTGTGCCGATTGTTTGGATCCTTAGGGGCTTTTACTACTATTTTACCTCACTGTTGGTTTAATATTTACACTCAGTCATGCTATGTTCTTACTGTTTTCATAACTCGATTTTATTCACTCTTTTTGATTTCATAAATGATTTTGAGCCGAGTACTTGTTTTATTGTCAGCCCGACGGGCTTGAGTGAAACCTGACTGAATGAGGCCGAGGGCCTGTGTTGTGAGGATATTCATGGGATCGGGCTGCGTGCCGCAGCATGTGGTACTGATTTGTGATATATGAGAGGCTGAGGGCCTGATTTATTATGCCACGAGGTGGCTTGTGATTGATATGAGGCCGAAAGCGTGTTTGACTATGCCACAAGATGGCTTGTTATTGCGCTTGGGCCGTAAGGGGCCCCTCCCGGAGTCTGTACACCCCCAGTGAGCGCGGGTACCCAGTGTGTGTGATGTGTTGTAGCCCGAGGAGCTGTTGTTGTTTCATATTGAAGCCCGAGGGGCGGTTCTTGATCCACGTTGCCCGAGGGACGGTTCTTGATTCATGTCATGCCTGAGGGGCTGATTACGAGTGATTGTGAGGTAGCCCGAGGGGCTGGTTCTGTTGATATTATGCCCGAGGGGCGGTTTATGGTATATGTTTTGCCCGAGGGGCTGTTTATGTTTCTATCATTTTTACTCACTGTTTTTATCACTCGTTTGAAACTATTGAAAATTGCTTTAAAAGGTTTTACCGAAACTGAGCATGATTTACGAAGTAAACGATGTTTTGGAAATGAACTGCTTTTGATATAGCGTTATGACGTGGCTTACGTGTTTTCTTACTGCTCAGCTTTCATTTACTTTTATTATTTATTGAGTTGGCGTACTCACATTACTCCCTGCACTTTGTGTGCAGATTCAGGTAGTTCTGAACCCGGTAGCGGGTGTTGATTGCTCAGTTGAAGAGTCATTGGAGTTAGCAAGGTAGCTGCGCGACGTTCGCAGCACTGCTTTTCTCCCTCTTGTCTTCCTTAGACTGTATTTAGTACATTTTAGATTCTTAGTTGTGTTCAGACCTTAGTAGATGCTCGTGACTTGTGACACCCCGATGTCGGGCTTGTGTATTTATTCCACACTGTTCATTTAGACTTACATTACGATATATCTGATTAATTAAAGGCTTAAAAGTGATTATTATTGATTAAATGGTTAATTCGGGAGTTGTGTCGGCTGGCCTAGTTTCACGATAAGTGTCATCACGGCCTGTTCGGTTTTAGGGTCGTGACAGTGGGTTCTGTAAATGGGTTGATCTGTCTTAGAACTGGGCCAAATAATATGCTTCTATGGAATCCATCTATAAGGAAGTTAAAAAATTGTACTGCTTTTATAGCTGCACCAAAGGGTGTCTTCTACCTCTGGGTTTTGGATATGATAAGTTTCATGATGATTATAAGGTAGTGCGTATGTTCTATGCTGTTAATGGTGGCAATTCATGTGATGTTAAGGTCGAAATATATAGTTTAAAGAGTGATTCTTGGAAGGAAATTGATGGTTTCCAATGTGGGAAGATACACTCTTGTTTGGGTAAGTTGGTGAATGGGAAGCTTCATTGGATTACGACTGGTGGTCATCCTGGGAATAATGATGGGGTCATCATTTTTATTGATTTGGCTGACAAGAAATGGGTAACGTTGGAGCAGCCTTGCCATGGAGAAGGTGAGTTCTATTTTAAGCTTGGAGTGTTGGGAAGTGATCTTTCCGTGTTTCGTACTTATCAAAGTACTTGGGCCGATGTATGGATTATGAAGGAATATGGGGTCAAAGAGTCTTGGGCAAAAATTTATACCATCAAATTTGATGAGGATATTCCTAAGCATGGGCGGTCTCCATTGTTTTGCAAGTCAAATAAAGGTGAAATTTTGCTTGCGCTTGGATCAAGATTCATGATATACAATCCAAAGGCTAACTCGTTACGATACCCAAAGATTTCTAAAAGTTATTTCTCTTTTTCTGATGGAATCTGAGTCGAAAGCCTAGTTTGTCCATTTTTACAAAATGAACCAAGGATGCAACGATGAAGGCTAAAAGCACTCAGGCAAATGTCAATTGTGTAGCTAATGACATGTAAGAGTTCCACTTCTGTGCATTTTTCACTAGTGCTGTTAAATTCTAATTCTTTTCTTTTCAGGCATAGAACAAGATACGCATGTGTGGCTAAATGGTTATGGGTGTTGTTTCTCTTCTTGAGCTGTGTTTTAATAGGGATGTGCTTCTAGACATGGAAATTGTGGCAGGTAATTGCGCCAATAATGCCTAGGTATAGCCATTGCCAGTGTTATTGTTTGATCTAGGGGGGCTTCTTTGAGTATTCTTCTCTAAGGGAACAATTAATAGGGGGAAAGTGGATACTCAGGAGCTATTGAAGAAGGGTTAAGTTATAACATAGTATCTAGTTTTGGTGTTTCTCCTTGCTGCAAATAGATAATTGCTTAATTTGTTAAGGACTAATTTTGGTGCTTTGACTGCTTTTATTTGCTAATAGCATAGCTAATTTTACTAGGTACGCATGGCCCGTGCTGGTAGAAGAGAAAACACTTATTTTTATTGAAGATAAAGGAGAGAAATAGGTACATATAAAAGATTACACGATATTAAACTAATGTTATACTATTTGCAAGAACCACAATTTGAATGAAAGTACAAAATCCACATAGAACTCGTTTGGGATAGTATAATAGCAATTACACAACTTCCACCACTCACAGAATAAATTCAGCTGCTTTGAGCTGTCTGGCAAATTTTAGGTGTAGACATAGTTGTCCATCCCGATATTAAAATAAGTAACCATAATAAAAAGAGTTACTGTACGAACCTATGTAGTTCTTTTCTATACAAAATGTGCAAAAAAATATCATAAGAACAATGCTCTATAAGATAATCAAGGCAAGGGCCAATGTATCCTTTCAGCTTGCTTCTTGTCATTGCAAGGCTGTTCATTATCTGCATAATAAATTAGTCTATAAAAAACTGGGAAAAGAGAGAGAAGATGTATATCCACGAACATCCAAAATATACAGAAACTAACTAATAGATTAGTCTCTACGACAAAATTAATACCATAATGTCACAAATGCTCACATGCATGTACAAAAGAAATTAACAGTAGAAGATTCACCAAAAAATAAAATCTCATGGTAGTTAGCTACTCTATAACCACAGTGAAAGTGACCATAATGCCGGATCTTATGAATGTTGAACCAAATATTCAAAAGACAATGTGCATGAGCAGTATCAAACAATTTCTTCAAGTTTAGTCGTACTCTGTTGTAATTAATCACCATAAAGTTATTATTCCCATCACAACTTACAAGTATCTTATATTTCTGTTTGTATCCCTCAACTAATAATCCCCTTTAATCAAAGGGGTTAAGAGATTTTAAAAGGGGTAAATTGAAATGAATATTCTGGCAGGAAAGAAGTATTGTACTCGAGTTAATAAAGTGAAAGATCAAAATTCATGCTTCTGGTTCTCAAGTTATTATGGTAAGACTCCTAATAGTTACCAGCAACTTTCAGTTCCTTAAGATATGTTGAGTATCATAACTTATTTTAATTGATGACCCTCTTCCCAGATGGCTTTTATGCTTAATAGTGCATAGGACAGTCAAAGACTATGAGCAAGTAGTATTTGTTAATAGCCTGAGCAAAAAACATGCTCTTTTATAGAGTAAGAGGCATTAGCCCACATCTGAAAATAACATATGCTATCAGTGTACTCACTTTGAGCTTATAAACTCTTAGCAAGTAAAGGAAATAATAGGGGAAGAAGTTGTTCATGCTTACCTAAACCAGAATATTAAGAGAAAAACATAAAAGAAGTATGTAACCATTAATTTTAAGAAGTTCTTTCATGCTTTTTTAAACCATAATCTGGAAAAAAAATGCTTCACATATAACGTTCGACTCATTTTAACATTTCCCAAGAGATTCATATTCTCCCTTTATTCTTCATTTGTGCTAATAGATATCATAATAGAAAATGTGCCACAGATCGAGTTAACCGAGAAACATGTATGTCCCAACAGTCAAAAGATCCTAGGGCAGTTTACTAAGGCAATACTACATGCACTAATCTTGTTGTCACTAAGATATTTTCTGTACCTTTGCAGACCGGGAAAAATGAATCTCCCAATATGCATAGACCAACCAGTGAAACAATCTTTATGTGTGAAGAGGCAGTAAATAATTGGATGTTGCAGCTAAAAAGCAGTGCAATTGTTTTCTAATTTTGCAAATCAACATCCCAGAATAAAGAGTTCAAGGGAGCATGAAAATCAGTCATTAGCCAAAGTAGCTGAAATGCTTGTGCTAATATTAAAAGTATGAAATCAAAACTCTTACTATATCAACTCAAATAATAAGATAGGTAAAAGAATAATATGATAGGAAGAGCCAGCTTTATTCGAGAACCTTCCATCGGAAATTTCGTAACATTACCAGTTCAATTAATGACTACTTANNATATATATATATATATATATATATATATATATATATATATATATATATATATATATATATATATATATATATATATATATATGGCAATAAATAACAATAAGTGGCATTTATGTAAAATAGGGAGAATGAAAAGGTAAAGTTTGTATCTTTACCATTCCGTGCCACTTATTGTTATTTATTGCTAATTACTCCTCCATTGTTTACCTTGATGAAAAGGTAAAGTTTGTATCTTTGCTATATATATATACAGCGGAATCGAAATACAAAACAGATAAACAATATGGGAGGGGAACATGCTGTGGGGAGTATAATAAATTCCAAATAAGAGTCGTCCAATAATAAAGGAATACAGCACAACTCAATAGTACGTAATGAAACAGAATTCAACCAGTGCACGACATCACCCTTCGTGCTTTACACTCTTTCCTTACCATAAACAAACAGTGCACGGCATCACCCTTCGTGCTTTAACACTCTTCCTCACCCAATCAACAATCACAAACAAGGGCAAGGGAAATAAATAAACAATAATGAAAATCCCGGCAAGGGAACACAAACAACAATTAAAAACCCGACAAGGGTACAATATCAATAACCAACAACGTCCCGGCAAGGGAATGAATCATTAACTCTTTTCTTTCTTTCACTCTTATCTCATAGTTCACATTATCACTTGAGCCAATGCTCCAAAGAGTTACTTATCTCATATACCTTCACAATTAGTATTTCAACCCGAGCCAATACTCCACTAAGTTTCAAGATCACAATTTCTTTCACAAGGTCTTTACAACATATAGAAGTCATCATTTAAGCATGGAAGGCATAACAACAACCAAACTATTCGCAAATAAGGACTCAAGGTCATGCTAGACACCAATGTATAGATACTCGTCACCATGCCTATACATCGTACTCGACAATTTTGCAAGTTACAAATAAAACTTAACTCCTATTCCCTCAAGCTTGGGTTAAACCAAACACTTATCTCAAAGCCTTGAATTCCACTCAATCCTCAACAATCGCTTTACCCCGCGATTCCACCTCCAATCCGCTCGAATCTAGCCACAAATTACTTGATTAAGTTAATAAATACTAAATGAATCAATTTGAATGCATAAAAATGAATTTCCCAAAATTTTTCCCAAAAATTCCAAAATCGCCCCCGGGCCAACGTGGTCAAAACCCGAGGTTCGAACCAAAACCCGGTTACCCATTCCCCCACGAACTCAAATATGTAATTTGTTTTGAAATCGGACCTCAAATTGAGGTCCAAATCCCCAATTTTTAGAAAACCTAGGTTCTACCCAAAAACCCCAATTTCACCGATGAAAATCCTTGGTTTTAAGTGGAAAACATGTTAAATGATGTTAAAGATTGAAAGAATTGAGTAAAAATCGACTTACAAATGATTTGGCATGAAGTTTGTTCTTAAAAAATCGCCTATGGTGTTTGAGTTTTGAAAGAATGGTGAAAAGTGATGAAAATTCGACTAAGTATAAAATTTGCTGGGCCTCGGATATGGGAATTGCGAACCCCGACCTGCTAACTTGGGAATTGCGAAGTCAAGTTCGCATTTGCGAACACTGTGCACAATGCCGGACTTCGCATTTGCGAAAAGATGACCGCATTTGCGATCAAACACCCTCCGCATTTGCGAGCACCATGCACTTGCGACCAGTGCCCGGAATTCCCATGTTCGCATTTGCGAGCAAATGAACCGCATTTGCGATCCTATGCCCAGTCCCCAGACTTCGCAATTGCGACTCAAAGCTCGCATTTGCGAAAATCACAGAAGCCAAAATACCAGATCTTTACCAGTTCAAAAATGCAATGCGTGGCCTATCCAAAACTCACCTGAGCCCTCGGGGCTCCAAACCAAATATGCATACAACCTCAATAACATCCTACGGACTTACCCGTGCGATCAAATCGCCAAAATAACATCATATACATCGAATCAAGCCTCAAAACTCATGTTTTTCTTTGAAATTTCATAAAGCATCAAATTCTCATTTTAAGTCCGAAACACGTCAAACGACGTCCAACTTCAACCAAATTTTACAGAAAGCGCTTAAACCATATATAAGACTTGTACCGGGCATCGGAACCAAAAGACGAGCCCGATATCACAGTCTTTTAATCAAATTTCATTTCCAATTTCCTTAATAATTCCAGAAAAACAATTTCACAGAAAAATTCATTACTCGGGCTTTAGACCTCGGAATTCGACTCCGGGCATATGCCCGAGTCCCATATTTTTCTACGGACCCTCCGGGACCGTCAAATCACGGGTTCGGGTCCGGGTCCGTTTACCCAAAATGTTGACCGAAGTCAAATATATTCATATTAATATCAAAATTTAGCATTTTTCACACGGAGTTCATATTTAAGCTTTCCGGCTACGCGCCCAGACTGCGCACGCAAATCGAGGCAACCCTGAATGAGGTTTTTGAGACCTCGAAAGCACAGAATGAGTGTGAAAACAGGTGATGACCCTTTGGGT